GTAAATAAAGTCCTAACGATGAAGAAGTAGGTATTCGGTTAAAGCTGCCTTGAGAGAAACGAGAGGATTCTCTCTCCCCCCTCTCTCTCTCTCTCTCTCTCTCTCTCTCTCGATCTCTCGATTCTCGTCTTAAGGATTAGCTGGTGGTAGGTACCTGAGATTGGTGGCGGTTCGACAAGCGCGGAGGGTCCGAAGAAAGACGGTAGGTCGCTGCTGGTGGTAACCGGTGTGTTCAAGTCGCCGGGTTTATCCTTATCGTTCGTATCGTGAATATCGCTCCTGCAATTCCTGATGCAACTCTTATCATCGTCGTCGGGTTGCCGGTGCCGCTTGCCGTCCGCGATATCGGTGGACGGTGACGAGGCATTGGGGTGCTGCAGCTGATGCTGGTGATGATCGTCCAATCGATGATGGTGCTGGTGATGGCGTTCGTGGTTGTGCTCCGTGGGGGTTGTTGAGCTGATTTGAAGTTGCATATGTAACGGCACGTTTGTGGACAGGGAGAGCTGCGGCGTGTTCGTCTTGCCGCAGCTGGTAGAGGACGAATTCGTGCAGGTCGCGTTCACGGACGTCCCGCCGACGCCGCAAGTGACCGAGCTGGACGAGGAGGCCGCGTTGTACGGTAAACACGCGTCGAAGCTAAGCTGCACCGGCAGATTGAACGTCGCGTGATGATGATGATGATGATGATGACCCAGTGGTGGTGAGGAGAGCAGAAACGGGCTGGTGGCCGCGTGCGGCTGCGAGCCCACCACCTCTACGCCGTCCATAGTCATCCTCTGGAGCTGGTCGCCTCCCTGGGCGATGGCAGAATCCTCGGTGCCGCACTGCGTGTCCTCGCCTGCGGTTGTATCGTTCAACGTAATTATTATGGTTAAAATTACTGCCGTAATCTTCGATCACTCCAAGTATTATTATTCCGAGAGCAATTAAGTTTCTCTCTCTTTCTCTTTCTCTTTCTCCCAATGTAAATAGCGCGCGTGTTAAAGATGTGTGTGAATAATGCGTTAATATCTCTCCCGATCTATCAAAGGGATCGATCCGTCACTCTACTCCTCCCAGCTAGTAGGATTAGTAGTGATTAAGTATGTATGACATTTCCCTCTTTCTTGCTCGATCGCGTGGCGCGCGCCCTTGGTTAACTCAATCGAATCGTCCGCGCGCCGGTTTGACGCGAGAAAAAGAGCTGTCTTCCTTCCCGCCTTGGCTTTCTTTTTTTTTTCTACCTCGATGGATGCCACCGGCCGTGGCCGGTAACACCACGTCGCAGAATGGACCACCACCGACCACTAGTAATCACCATCACCGACACCAATTTACCACCACCGTGTGCGCCAAGGAAGCTTACGCGCGTATAGGACCGTTGCGACTGTCTTGAATACGCATAGATATTTCGTCGATCGGTCAATTCGATATATCGGTACCACCGTTTTCACCTCGCGAACGATGAGGAGAACAGACTATTATGAACGACGGTATACATGTATATCGTGGGGACCGATGTACGCGTGTGTACGTCCGGAACGCGCACCGCTCTCGCGGGATATTACACCTCCTCTTCTCACCTTCCGAACGTTACGAACGACGCGACGCGTCTCCGAGAGAGCCGATGTGAATACGCGTCGGAAAGCGAGGCAAAAGTATTCGTGCGGCGAGAGAAGACGTGTGTCCGGCAACCGCCACCCGCCGTCGCCGTCGCTGCCG